ATTTTATATGCATTTATTTACAGAGACGCACTGATAACTAATATTTCAAGTTACTGCTTTTTCTCCATGTTGAAAACATCTTTTCTGTCTTAACTAAATTATTAATGTCTGTACATGCATATTACCAGAAGTGCCAAGTCTGAGTAATCCTTATTAATGTACTTATTTGTAGCAGAAACCACTCACTACATTGCATAGCTCCTAGTATACAGTGTTTTCTAATGGACATGGGTTTTACTCTTATCATATTAATAAATTATAGACCTAACAATCCCACATCTGAGGTCTCTTTATGTCTTAAGAGCTTTTGAAATCTACAAAGGATGAAGTAGTTTTGTAGTGCTACCAAAAGAATAAAAAAATCAGATTTATGCAATACATTATCAAATCTAGTACAAAATATAAAATACATTGTTTCATGTTGCGTGGTAGTTGATCACGTAAAAGCAAAAATGTCATGCATGCTATTGCATTGTTATTTGGTGAAATGTCTGATGATGACTTCTAATTTTAACAACATGCTGACTTGCTCAAATGCATTTGCCATCTTAAAATAGAGATTTCTATTGCACTTCACTTTTTTTTATCTCCCTCAAAACCCCTGTAAAACTTCATTTTTTTAAAAAAAAGGAATTACTGATATCAAAACTATTCAATCAGAATAAAGCAACATACTGTATTGTGTATTACATTACATGTTGTTATTATACAGTATGATGAAGAGCTGTTACATAATATGGGCTATTAAATTTGGAATCTCCCAAATGCTTGTAGTAAAATAAGAACAAAAATGCTGGAAAATGTAGTCAGCTTTTCCTTTAGCAAATGGATACTGTCGTTACATGCCATTTTCCTCATGCCTATGAATACAATCTCTGTATTGGCATTGTGCATAGTGTTACTATGCACCATCTATTTGCATAGATATCTGAACAGGTGTGTGCTCTGGAGACAGATGAGGAATTAACATTGTTTTTCACTGTTAGGGAATCCATTTGCCTGATTTATGAATTGCCCTTCAGAAATTGAGGAATAACTTCAGGGGACCATCCAAATTATATATTTTTAATTTTTATAATTAACATGTTCATACTATGGTACATGGGTTGATGAACTGTTTTAGTAATTGCAAAATTTTATATATATATGTGTGTGTGTATGTGTGTGTGTGTATATATGTATATGTATGTATGTGTGTGTGTATATATGTATATATATATATTTCTTAAGTTTTCGCGGGTACTTACATGTATGGCATTCAGCTTTGTTTGGGTATTTTCCCACGTCATTGTAGTTGTGCTTTTAAAGTTGTAGCAACGTTTCGGCAGAATCTCATCTGCCATCATCAGGCTTCTACAGAACGTTGCTACAACTTTAAAAGCACAATTACAATGACGTGGGAAAATACCCGAACAAAGCTGAATGCCGTGTGTGTGTGTGTGTGTGTGTGTGTGTGTGTGTATGTATGTATGTATGTATGTGTATGTATATATATATATATATATATATATGCCATACACACACAAACACACATCTTCCTGTCGGTGTTATAAAAGTAAAGGCAATGTGAAAATAATAGGTCACAGGTTGCCATATTCCTGAAAAGGTTTGATGCTTGTGGAAATAGTACATTGAGATTTAGTGATGTGTTTAAAAGATAAATGGAGAAGAGATAGAACATAAGTGGTTAATCTGTTCTTAGCTAGTGAGAAAATAAGGATTTGGACAACTTATAATTAAAAAGAAAAAGAAAATACAAACTATACCAAAAGCAGATACAGATCTCCCTATTATATTAAACTCTGCTGTAGTGTTTGCAAGAAATGTGTCTGCTGTTTGACCTCATCCTGTCATTTGCAGTAGCCAAAACATGCCAAATGAAATATTTATGGTAGCTTTGAAGAATAAAATTTTAATTTTGATGTGTTTTACTAACTGCTGAAAACATGTCCTTTGCATTTATTTGCCAAAATTAATTGCTTAAAATAATTTTTAAATGTGCATGTTAATATCATGATGTAAGAAAGAAGATATATCTCAGTGTTAGGCAGTCCAATACTATCGTCTGTGCCTATTTAATTATTTACATTTCTGTGTTACCCAGAAGCATCAATAGATGAATTCATGTTCTCATGAAAAGTTGAAAAGACCAAATGATTTTTAATTATTACCAAAGATATGCAAAGCTTTCCAAGGAAAGGTTGTGCACAAAAAGAAGCATTTTTGTTGATTGGTTGGTTTAGAACTTGAAATAAATACTACGAGCCCCAAGTTGCATCCAGCTGTTTCAATTTAGCTGCAGTTCAGTGAAACAAAATTTGAAACTTTAATGCTTACTCCTCTCATCAGAACAGTTCTAGGTGTTTTGGTGATGGATACTATGCGGTTCAGAACTGGCCACCTGGATTGGAAAACATCCAGATAGCCACTAGATCACATTAAAGAAATCTAGAAAAATCTAAATTCTTTTCAGTTATCGTGTGAAGAATTTTTGCTGTCTGTATGTAGAAGTCTTAGCCCTAGCATTCCTTGAATTCAGTGCAACCATAATTTCCCCTGGAGACATGCCTATTTTCAGGGGTGGGCTGCTGGGGGCTCACGGGGGTTAGGGAGAGCCCCTAGCTAAGATTCTGTGCAGTTTGGAAAACCCCCAAATCCCACTCTTGGCTGGCCCCTCCCACCCTGCCCTTCCCAGAAGTACCCATGCGGCCCATTTTGGATGCAGGCAACTTCAGGGCCCATGTGGAGGCTCGGGGAAGGCGAAAAACGGGCCTCCTGGAAGTTCAGGAAGGCCAGAAATGGGCCCAAGAGCCTCTGGAGCCCGCTGAGGCTGTTTTCAGCCTCCGGAACCCAGGGAGGGAAAAAGTGCCCCCCCCCCCCATGGTGCAGGAGGTTGGCTAGGCCACGCCCACCATGGCCACACCCACCCAGCAACTAGGGAGAGAACCATTTGCTAAAATTTTTGAAGCCCACTCCATATTTTCATTGAAAGGAATGTAAGGGAAAAAGGTTAGTAGATATCTGGCTTTATGTTTTAGGTCTCTTACAGAACCGTTTCAGTTCCTTCTGGGCAGGAAGACACACTGGCAAAAAATAATACATTAATTCTAACCGTTACTTTCAAAATGTTCTAGCACAGAAGAAACAGTGTTCTAATTGTTTGTACATTCCTGTCCAACTTCATTTTATCAATTATCCCTTCAAAATGTTGAGTCAGCTTTCACCGTTACTTTGAAAACGTTTCCAGATACAGTATTTCCACAAGCACATGCACAAATACCTACTTATTAAATTTTTCCATGTCCATGTAAACTCAGGCAGGGACAATGTGGGAAGAGTTTTCAAAGCAGTTATGCCAAGCATCCCAGATGACTCAGGTGCTTATAATATTGAGGAGGGAAGTGTCTTGAAACAGTCTTTCAAATGTTTTCCACAACTACAGCTATTTACTGTTTGTTTCTGAATAGACTTTGATACAAAATAGGATGTACTGATTTCATATGAAATGTTTTGGATTGTATAGTCTGTATTCTTCAGGTTTATATCCACTCTTGTTTAGAAGCATTAAGTAGCATTTTTAGGACTCCCTCTTATTTTTTTCCCCACAGTAACAACCCCGTATGATATAGTGAATAGATGTAGGTCTTTCAGCTGCTTTGACACTTTTAGTATCTTACATCTTGCCCAACTTTTATTATTGAGCCTGGTCCACCATGATAGAAACAACCCTCACAACCTTCCCATGAAGGATATTTACAATTATAGCCACTGGTAAATGTTGTATGTAGAAATTTCATTGCTATTCTGCTCTTTCTTTCTCCAGAACTCTTGTAATTGTTTTGCCCAGTTGAGCTAGTAATATGCATTATGCACGCACATTGAGGAACCTCAGCTTCTGAGCCTTCCTCTCAAATGTCCCATTGCCTCTGGTATTATCACCCACATGTGTCCTTCTCTAAATTCTGAGTGGCCTTGGGTATACAAAGACTCCATAGCAGGCAGCTGGCAAACATAGCACATGCACATTTCTCTTTTTCCTCGCTCTTAATTTAGCTGTGCAGTTTTCACCCTTATCCTGTTGCACTTGTTCTGCTACTTAGTCCTTCGCCTAAGTGCACATCCTGCACTTTTTCGTGGTTGTACAGTGGAATTAAATATTTTCCTTCGCATACAAGTCATGCTAGTACTGCAACTTGTACCGCACCCTGCCTAATCTAGAAAGCTCCATAAACTTGGGTGTATAGGAGCTGAGTGCCACAGAAGGCTGAAGACTGGAGGCTGTACTTTAGCACTGCCCCGCTTCTCCCTAGACTACACTCATTCAGGCAGAAGGTCCGAAGCAAGACTGTATTTGCAATCCGGAGTGTGACTCTTTGTATAAAAGGAAAATTCTGGCTAGTTTAGACTGTTGAACTCGCTTTAAACTTAATGTCAGTACAACTTCCCTGCAGATCTCACACCTGAATAAAAGGAATTTGAAGATTCTCTAGCCAATTCATGCATTTCCCTCTTCAGGCAGATGGCTGAAATATAGTCTCCCAACAGCAGAATGTCTGCAGAACCAGACATTCAATTTTCCTGAGATGTCAAAGATAATCATGAAGAATTATTGTTTATCTGATTGGTTTTTTATTGTATTGTGCAATTCTGAACAAGCATTGTGGCCCTAGAAAATTAATTTCTAGCTGGTACTTTCAGTAATTGGAATTAGGAACATCCTGCATTCAAAATACATTATCCAGCCCTTGCTCAGATTGACTCCATGTGAAAGAAAGCTAGAGTTGGACATATGGACTAGATGGAAAGAAATAACTTTCTCCTTACCTTCAAGTGATCCTAATTTGGGGAACTATACATGTGATATTTGTAACAATATTGTACAAATATTATTATATATAAATATTTTGTAAATCAACCTTTCTTGTATGCTTTTTAGATTGCTACAATTTTGAATCTCACAGTTCTTCCTTTTATTGTAGGATAATCAACCATGACTACAGAATCTGGTTCAGACTCTGAATCCAAAGATCAGGGTCAAGAGCAGAAAGAAACATCTAGTGAACAAGAAAAAGCAACCCAAGAACAGCAGCCACAGCAAGTGGAGGAAGAGCACCAGAATGCATTAAAACAATTTTCCAGTGTGGCAGCCCATAGCACTCCTGTAAAAAAGGAACAGGTAAGTTATTTAGGAAATCACCTTTCCTCAATTTGGCACGAACCTAATATATTAGAGATTAGGATTATTATAGTAAAAAAGTATTAGAAATGATAAATATTATAGCATGCACATTTTGAGCTGGAGTAGCCTTCCATGAGAATTTTATAGAAATGATAGACCACCTCATTTGGAGAGTATTTTGCAGAGAGAGGTAGCACATTGTCATTCACATAGATCAAAATGGATTCTAAAAAGTACAACAAAACAAAACAAAGGCTCAGTATTGTTTTTTCTTTTAAGGCTATTTTTATTAAAATTATATAATTATAATGAAGGGTTTTCATAGAAATGAGGCAAATTATGTTAGAAGTTTTTAAATTTAGTTCAGACTCATATTTGGAGGTAATAAATCCAACTGTCTGCCCTCCAAAATTGATTTTTTTCAGTCCATTGCTGTGATAAAAAGGAGAGGATCTCCAATATCTAACATAATTTAGATTTGTTGTTAGATTTTACTTGTATCTTAGTTCTCCTGCAGTCATGGAAATTTACTCAGTGACTAGTGGCAGTTTCAGTAACTATCACAAAAACTATTTCACAGGAAGATGTGCTGTATATATTGTATTGAGCTTTTGAATAAAGGACAGGCTATAAATCTAATTTCAAAGGATTGCCTATAAATGTTTTTTATTGAAGACTAAAGGATGTGCAATGAACTTAACCTCTATATTAACTGAAATAAACATATTGGCATGTCCGATTGTTTCATTCTACTTGGAGAGCTGTAAATTCACACAACTCCTGGGTTCCCACAGTACCCTGCAGAGCCTATGCAGAGTTTCAGGAATGAAGAAAGTAAAGGTCTTTTTGCTTGAAGGGGACATCATTCATACTACATTCCATGTTGAATGTAGGCCAGCATATACTCTGTGTGTGTGTGCGCGCGCGCATGCATAGACAGTAGGATGCTAATTGCTAAACACACACATTTACTACACACACACATATTTTCAGCAACTGATACCCTATTTTCTCTCTGTAATGTTAATTGTTGATATATTAAAAACAGTCTTTTAAACGTTCAGATTTATAGCTAAAATATATAAATTTGTTCTGGATTAAGAACACAGAATTTACAGAAGGAATTATCACCAAGATTTAAACATTTTCATTTGTTGCTTCAAATTATTTTATTCCAAAAATGTTTGTTTGATATTATTAATCCTTTGGCCAGATCTTCAGATTATATCCAAATCTCTCAAAAGGTCCAGTACCATTGAAATAACATGAATATATAATATATTTGTTGTCTTTTTGTGGTAACTTTGTTGTAGGTAAACTTCATGAACAGATTGTCAGGCCTCTGTAGGAAGATGAATTTCATGTGAAAATATTTTGCTGTATAAAACAAGTGTAGGTTTCAGGCCTATTTTGAAGTCATTTCAGACCAAAATAGGTATTCATTTTATTAATTATTAAAAACAAATTAACTTATAAAGTTTTGACTGTATATTTCTGTAGATCTTCTGCTTTTAAATAAGTTTATTAGCTAGTGGTAGAAAAACCATCCATATACAAATCTATTATTTAAAAAAATACTGCTGGGACTGAAAAGCAATTGGTTGTTATGGTAGCATATTTTTGGACTATCACAACACCTGAGTTTTCAGAAATGAAACATGGTTATTTAACAATTATTGCAGTGTTAGATCTTTTTCTATTCAGTTTATTTGACTTTATTTTTAAACGAGCTACTCTATTGCAGTTTCCTTTAGCATGTTCCTAAAAAAAAAAGCTATACAACAGCAGTGTAGCAGTCTCATTAACCCAGGGGTGGGCAACTATGGCCCTTTTATGACTTGTGGACTTCAACTCCCAAAAGTCCTGAGCTAGCATGGCTTGCTCAGGAATTCTGGGAGTTGAAGTCCATAATTCATAAAAGGGCCATAGTTGCCCACCCCTGCATTAACCCAAAAGGCCTTCACAAATTACTGAAATAAGTGATTTATCTCTTTTCCAATTCAATTTATATGCTTATTTTAAAAATGGGTTCTGAGCAGACTTCTACAAAGAGATGCCTGGTTATGCTGCATGATTCTGGAAGCCTGCTCTGATTGCCCATTTTTATTGTGAAACTAGAATTGAATTTTCCTCTGTTTCTAGGCCACTGACAGAGAACTTGAAGTTGCTGCCGCAGTGGCAAAGCAGCTGGAATATCAGCAGTTTGAAGACGACAAACTCTCCCAAAAATCATCCTCAAGCAAACTTTCCCGCTCTCCTTTAAAGATTGTGAAGAAACCAAAAAATATGCAGTGCAAAGTAATCCTTCTGGATGGCTCTGAATATGGCTGTGAAGTAGAGGTAAAAATGTAAAAAAGTGGAACTTCTAGGGATAGATGTATGCACATGATGTTAAATTAGGTGATTTAGGTGTATACAATTGATGAGTGATTTCACTGAAATTTCTTTACATATATATCTAGATGGATGGATAGATAAAGATAATGGCTCCCTAAATAAGGAAATGTATACTCTATTCATCAGTGATACCAGTAAGAAAAATTACAGTAGTGGAAACAACAGTAGAAAGGAGAAATATTCTCTTTCAAAGATTTTTACGTAATTATGCACTTGGCAGTTAAGATTTTTGCTCAGAATGCCTTTATAAATAAAAGATAACAATAGCATTTCATTAGGATTCATCAGCTGTGTCTTCTTTGAAGGCTGCAGTATAAGGGCTTCTCTCGGACATAAGGCTTTTTAAAAAAAAATACATAATAATGCCTGACAGTAACTGTTTTGTAGTCTATATTTGGACTACTAGCTACAGATTTGGATAGGTTATTCTCTTTCAAGAGGTTTGTCCAAGATGGAAGAGGCAATAAATTGATCAAAGAGCTGGAACATTTTGTTTGTAAGCAAAATTACTGTCCAGAACTCCTTAGCTCATGAAATAAGATATGCTAGAAATCATATTCTTCAATAAATAAATCCTTGTAAGAACATTAGTTAAATTAATTGGCACGCGATTTGGAACAATCGAATGCATAGTTGATTTGTAGAATTTGTTGTCACAAGGTAATAGGATTACTTTTAAAAATATTAATAGAGACCAAGGCCAAGAATAGTCTGATAATGTCATAAGAAGATGTATACCCCAACATTCTACAGTGTTGTCCTGGTTGCTATGCCCCATTTCCACCAAGTGGCTCAATTTCTGGTCATAGAAGCTAAGGAGCTGTTCAGCAGAACATGATTTGAGATGACCAAAATAACAGGGAGCTGTCCAATGAAAACCAGGAACACAAATCTCTGAGATTTCTATATTTTTATGCATCTGGCTGTGCTGATCTGTCCATTCTAGATTGTCTTTCTTTAAATCCTGATCAAGTATTACCAGGAAATATTTCTCAAGAAAATAAGTCAAATCTTTGCTTTTGTGCTGACAGATCCCTGAATTTTAAATTCTGCCTCTCCTGTTAAATTTGCTGCCACCATGTATCCTGGAAGTAATTTTGATGAATCTCAGTCTGAAGGAAATCCCCATATATAAAAGAAATGTAGCAATGTACCAAATCTGCATCATTTTCTTTACATTTGAAGCTGAATAGATTCTTAAAAATATAATACTAGAATATTTATCAATACTGTAGGCAACATAGGCCTCTTTCTTTATGGAAGAAGAGAGGTGACCTTACTTCAATTTGGAGGTTTATATTCAATAGGAGGGTGTTAAACTTCTGACATCTTGCCTGTAAACTGGAACAGTAACCCACAGTTTCTTCCTTAATATATTTGAGATTACCTGTCTATCTCAGGATGCCAAATCAAAAAACATTTGATGTTGGATTGGGCTGGAGATTCTAATTTTTTGTACTTTATCTAAAGTAGCTATTACACCCAACAAATATTACAGATTTGTTTGTTGCAATTCATATCTGTGACATGATGAGTATAAATTTGTCACAATTTTCTGTCAGTAACATCTCCTTTGAATTCTTACAAACTCCTGCTGAAGTCATCAATGATATCAAATCATCTTGTTTCCTATCATCTTTTTTTTTTTACTGCCTTCAATTTTTCCAAGTAACTTTTGCCTTCTCATTATCTGTCAAAAGAGTTGAAGCCTTATCTTCGTTATCAGTGCTTCCAGTAAGCAATTTTATTTCATCTTTTAATGAATAATCCGTTCACAACAATTTTCTGCAGCATCAGTTTTTCTTTGCTCAGTCTTTTTTATGCTGCACTTCTCCTACTATAGGTTACAGCTTGGGAAACTATGGTCTTGACAATACATATTTCTGTTGTCAAGGTGACCTCTCTACGCTTAATGTTTTGTCTATTTTAGAGCTATTGTCATTTTTGTCATAAGTGGTAGATGTTTATTGCATGGCTACAGTCATTGGGCCTGTGAATTTTTGAGCCAATAAAGAGTTGCTATTGCAATGTCTTTTCCATCTATTTGTTTTGTATTGCTGTCCATATTAATAAAAATCTTACATATTTTTTTTAAAATATTGAACAGCAGCAGGGTTTTGTCCTTTCTTGTTTCACCCTTTGACAAAAGATTTCTTAATCTTCCTTGCTTCCAGTCTTCAAAGCCTATCTGAAGTTGATATTTCTCCCAACAATTTTAATTCCAGCTTTTATTTCTTCTGATCCTCATTATATATTCTACATATAAATTAAATAAGAGAACAGTTTACAATCTTAATACTATTTTTTTCAGTTTTGAACCATTTATCTGTGCTGTATTCTGTTCCATCTGTTGCTTTTTGGCAATCAAACCAATTCTTCTATAGATTGATGGTGGCATGGTACACTCATGTTTTTAAGGATAATTCTTTTGTTTATGTTCCTTTGAGTCACTCTTGGCTCTTGACGAATGCCTGGATGAGTCCTGCAGTTCTCTTACCAAGATTTCAGAAGTGGTTTGCCTGAGCTGAGTGAATGACTGCCCAAAGACCTCATGCCTATGGCAAGACTAGCTCAGTCTCCCAATTTCTAGTCTGGTGCCTTAATCACTATACCAGTGATCTACACAGTCAGTAACCTTTATATAATCAATAAAGGAGAAATTAAAATATTTGTGGAACTCCTTATTTTTCCCATTAAACAGTAGATTTTAACAGTGTGATTTCAGGTCTTCTAACTCTTAAGATCCTGTTTATATAGTTGACAGTGCTGTTCCATACATAGTGAAATCTAACTTGCCAAACCTTAAGCATTATTTTACTAGTATGTAAGATACTAGTAAAGATTTCAAACTTTCATATATATAGATAATAAATATTGGATGTTTTCTGTATTGATAAGAGTTATCCTGTCAAGTTCTTCAGAGCATTTGAAAAGAAAGTGGTTTTTGTTTGATTTTTTAGAAGTGTGTTTAAATGAACTGCTGTGATCTTTAAAAGGCAATCGACTTACAAACATTATCAGCACACACAGAAGCCCTTTTGCTGGAATTGATGGTTATTTGTCATTTGATGTTCTGAACATTAAACATAGCTTTTTCAAAGTACTTTCCTGGTTGAGTGTATATGCATAGAGGTTGGGATTGGTGTTCAATTATCATTGCTAGTCTCATTAAATCATTTTGGAGAACAAACTGAGTATGCATGTTAGAAATTATTCATTTCAATTAATTTTACCCTTTTAAAAGAGCATGCAGTTCTGTTTCCCATCTCACTTATCGTGTGCTTCTTCCTATAAACACATTTAGAGTACTCTATCAGCTGCTTGTGACTTTCTGTGCTTTTCCCTATATCAGGGGTATCAAACTGGATTTTATTGAGGGCCAAATCAGGGTTGTATTTGACTTCATGAGGCCAGGGTGGGTGTGGCCAGGATGGGTATGGCCAGCTCAACGTCACGCATGTTGGGGGTGCCTGTGTGGCTCGAGCACTCTGCCAGCAAAAATGGGCTCCCGAGCTCTGTTTCTGGCTGGGATAGCCTCCTGCAACCTCTGCCAGTGAAAGTGGGGCTGGCGGGGGGGGGTCGCACACAGCCCTCCTGAGCTCCGTTTTTGCTGGCAGACACATCATGGGCTGGTCCTTTGCTGTTTCCAGGGTGGCCCTGCGGGCCAGATCTAAGCACCCCATGGGCCAAATGTGGCCTGCGGGCCTTGAGTTTGACATCCCTGTGCTATACGCTATAAGAATAAAAGACTGCCTAGAAAACAGATTTAGAAACTCATTGGAAATGAGTTAAAGCTATTACAGAACTAGACCACATTAAAGAAGATAGAGAAACAGTAGTTTGTAATATGGAACGATGAGACCCAGGAGACAAATAGTGATTTGGATTGTAATAATTGCCCTCTGGAATGAAATGATGACGTCCAGAAACAAGATCAATTCAATTTCAACCCTTGAATTTATTTGACTTACAAGCAAGCTAACAGCTTGCAAAGTGATCCGTTGTTTTTCCTACTAAAAGTGTATTAATAGCTATTCTTTTTACCGAGAACTACTCAGTAAAAATTAGAACACTTAGAACAACAGTTCTGATTTGATCGGATTTCAGAGTTAGTCTTATTACAATCACAGTCTTAACAAGAATTGGTAGCCCTTTGCTGAATATTTGTTTGGCTGTTTGCTTAGCTTACTACTGGCTTTTTCAGATGTTAGCCCAACAAATTGTTGCACTTCTTAATGATAGTTCCACTTAACTGCTGAATCTCCTTGTTTTGCACTGCAGTCACCTAATTCTTAACAGCTAAGCTTATCAGAGCATGATACAATGAATAATTCTCATCACAAAGAATATGGCAAATAATAAGCAACTTCTTAAGCTATTATTGTATGCTAAACTTTTCTTACTAAAGTATAGCTGCTCTTGATACAGAAAAATGAAGATGAAATATAATTCATTATAACTGTTGCAATCCAAAGGAGAGAATGTTCGGTTTTCAGAATATATTCAGAATATGTCTGCTGAACAAACCTTTGCATTGGCGACAGGAAGGGCATCTGCTCCATTCAGTTCCCCAGACTCTACCCCGCAAGCGATTATGGGGTGCTGAAAGAAGATGATATGGTAAAGAGTATCTGTTAAAAATGCTAGTTGTGGTGATAAGAACAAATATATTCACTAAGCCTGTGATGGCAAACTTACCGCACTGTGCATGTGCATGCCTCATAGCTGATTTTTTTTCGGTTGGTTTGAGGCCTTTTTCAGCCTCCCAGAGGCTTGGAAAAAGCCACCGCAAGGCTTCTCAGGCTGAATTACAGGCCCTTTTTGTCACTTCAGGAAGTGACGAAATGGGCCTATAATTTGGCCTGAGAAGCCTTGCAGAGGCTTTTTCCAAGCCTCTGGGAGGCCGAAAAAGGCCTCAAACCAGCCAAAAAATCAGCTGAGAGGCACAGTGCAGGTAAGGGGGTGGGAGTGGGGATTGCGCGGGCATACGCAAGGGATGTGGGGAGGGGCGCGCATTGCATTCTGGGTGCTGGCATGTGAGCATGGGCATGCTGGTACGCTTGCAATTTTGGGCACAGGAGCCCAAAAAGGTTAGCTACCACTGCACTAAGCCATGATCTTTTAAAAGAGAATAATTGTTGTATAATGACAGAGAGTGAGGTACATATTGTTGATATTCCTTTATTGGAAATCTAATGTCTGAAGCTTTATTCCAAATAATAGTCATTACTGTTGCACTAAATAGCATTTCAGTGACATTATGAATCTAAATTTCATTGAAAAATGAACTACTTTTGTATCTTCGGCAAATTGCTCTTATTTGTACCTACTTACATATATCTAGACAAATGGTAGCAAGTAAAAATTATGTGTAATCTAAAGTAATCTAAACATTTTCTGTGAGGAGACAAAGGGAAAGATAGAGACAGCTTGGGTACTACAGTGGAAGAGTTTTAATGTAAGTGAAGAGATTACCATTCTCTGTTGTCACTTGAAGTGATTACTGAAAACCAGGGTTTTCTGTGAATAAGTCTGACAGCAAACAAGATAAACCTTCCTATGGGACCTAATGAGGTTCAATATTACTTTATTTCAGTGTATGGGATAATTAATGCCCATCCATACAGAGAAGAAGTCACGAGACAAAGGTTTTTTTAGAGAAGATCAGGAAGAAGGTTGCTCTTTTTTAGTGAGAACTTAACAAAAAGGATTATAAGTATATCATAAAAGTACAATAAAAAATAACCCACAGTATAGCAAACAACAACCATTATACATCAACATATAAATTTTAAGCCTTAAGTTTCAGAAAAATCCCATGTCAATAAATGTATAGTCCTGCTCACTTTAGAGTACATCAGAAGGACTGGATAGATGTTGAGGAAAATATTACATTCTGTCTGTGACTGTTCCTATTTTGCATTTTTCATGGGTGAACTTATGACATATAGGTGGGTACTTAAGGGAAATCACTCAAGAAAAAAACTAAAACATCTTTGGGGTATTACAATAAGAAGTTTGCCCAAATTGGTTTTTTTTTTTCAACCTGTGAACTTTTGCCTTGAGCCAGTTTGATGCCTCCAGTCCCTTTGTCTGCTATCTATGTTCCATGACTATTATGGCTTTGGCCTTTAACAGCTCATTTATCAGCATTTTCACAAGAGTTGTAAGTAATTCTCAGAGACAATCTGAATCATAGGGACCTTCAAAGTCTTCTAGTCCAATTTCTTGCCCTGATATCCATCTCAGACAATTGGAAACTCCAACAATGGAAAGCTCACAGCACCAACAACTTAGAGCACCAACAACTCAGACAGGCAAAGCTGTTTTACTTCTTAATAGTTCTCACAGAAACTCCTTCTTAATTTCTAGGTTGGATTTCACTATGACAAACTTCCTCCCATTGCTTCTTGTCCTATCCTCAGGTGCTATGGAAAATAAATTAACTCTTCTCTGTGACAGCCCTTCATCTCTTAGAACTGTGATGGCGAACCTAAGGCACGCGTGCCGGCATGCTGCCAGGAAGAGCCCCACTGCACGTGCATGCCACTGCCCGACAGCTGATTGTCGGGTATCTGGCATGCATGCGCGGGGGGGAAGGGGTGTGCGGGAGATGTGCGCGCATGCACAGAGATGCGTAGCATGCAGGGGGGTTGCGCACATGCGCAGAGATGCACGCAGGATCATGCATGCATGCACAGATGCGTGGCACATGGGGGTGTCTCACGCACATGCGCAGAGACTCGCAGTGCGCATGGGGAATCATGCATGCATAGAGGCGCTTGTCGCGCAGGGGGGGATCACACATTCCTTTCTGGGTGCTGGTGCGCAGGCAAGTGTGCACACAATTTTCAGCACTTGAGCCAAAAAAAGTTAGCCACCACTGTCTTAGAACACTCTTTATTTTTGTTAAGCTAAACCAGAGTTTCATTATAGGGGAAATGGGCAGAATAAAAATTTAATGAAACAAATAAAACTAGTTTCTTTAGCCATTCTTCATAGAGTTTAACCAACAGACTCCTTTGTAGCTCTTCTCTGCACTCTTTCTAGGACCTCAGCATCTTTTTTTGGATTGTGACTAGAACTGAACACAGTATTTAGCGTAGTATAAAGCAGTATTATCACTTCCCTTCCCTATATTGGTGCTATACTTTCCCCTTACGGACTACTGATATCAGCAGATCAGTCACTTTCTGTCTCCAGTTCTTAAATTCTTTAGATAGGGAAGAATAAATAAGCAGTTAAACAGATAACAGTAAGTCAAGAGGATCTTGTTTGACCTTTTGCACTCAAAAGTTCATTAGAATGGTGAATATTTAGATATGCATTAACAGGATCGTACTAAGCTTATTATGGGATGGTACCAGTTGCAGAGAAGCCATTGGGCAGGTACCAAAATATTAGTGATGTATCAAATTGCTGTAACCAATGAATGTAAGCCACCCAAAATCACCTCTAGGCAAGATGGGAAACATTCAAATCAAATAAATAAATCAAATAATCTGGATTAGCTGTTATTATTTGCTTGCATTTAATCCAGTGCTCCCTGGACATGTGAAACTTGCTTTTGATACAGGTTTAGATTTCTCAGCTTATTCATCATTCTCTTTTTAAGTTCCAAATTAGGTTTTATCTAATTTGTTATCTCATTTTAAATCACAATTGTCTCTGCATAAGCTTGTTTTAACTAAGTTAGCAGCAGTACTTGGATGCTTGTGTCTAAGCTTAATAAAAGAGTGCCAATTTGTTGTTAGCCGCAGTCAGAAGCTTGATAATGTTGTTTGTGCATTTGTGAAGTCAGTAATATTGTTGGCACAGTGATTAAAGTACAGTATGACTTTAGAGTCTGACTCTTTCCACCACGTGGACTTTGATCCTGACGGGCTCAAGGTTGACTCAGAGTTCCATTCTTCTGAGGTGTGTAAAATGAGGACGCAGACTGTTGGGGGCAATGCACAAATAATGCTTCTACATTGTAAACTGCTCAGAGAGTGCTATAAATCACTACATGGTGGAATAGAGGCCTAAAATGCTGTTGCTGTGGTATTGCTATGTTTGTTTTTTAAGTCCTCATTCTTTTGCTGGATAAGCTTTGCAGCAGCTGAACAAATGGCAGAGATGATAAAATATCAGCCTGCAGTAAAAATAATAAAAATGGAGATCTCCAGAAGAAGAAAACTAAAATAGATGAAGTAAAAGCAGAAGAGCTAGTTAAAAATTTAAAGATGTTTTAGAGGCATCTCTTAACAACAGCTGCTACCTCTTTTTACAATATATTGTAAAAAGGAGTGATGATACCTATTTGTCGTCAGTAACCATATATTTACTTAACAGATGTTTTTCAAAGTCAGGTAAATTAAGAGTGGAAAATACACTATGGAAACTATATAAACGTATTGTTTAATTATTAGATTATATTCTATTCAGTGGTGGTGTGCTACCGGTTCGGCCGAACCAGTAGTAAAAAAAGGCTCTGATGATCAGCTGAGAGCAGGAAGAAGAGAAAAACGCTGGATCGTCCCTCCCACCTGCCCCTGCACTTTTCTCTTCTTTATCTCTCAGCTGATTGGTGCTGCAGGCCTCAGCTGGTGTGTGGAAATCTGCCTTCATGCAGGGTCACCAAACCAGTAGTGGAACAGGTAGGATCCCACTGCTGATTGTATTCTCATATCTGCTATAAGTTTTTGAAAATAATTTTAATTTCTGCCTACTGATTTAGATTCTTAGAAAGTTCAGAACAAATAATGGAAGGATGCAGACAATTGGGAAGGTTAATATTGTGTACCAACAGTGTAGGACATGATTGTATTTCTCTATGAAGAATATATATTGCTGTTAAAGTGTAAAACAGCTGGATTTCATGGAACATTTAACTTAGAAACTAACTTCAGTTTTAAGGCGCAGACACATAATATTATTTGAATTGCATTTTCAGAAATGAAATGATAATAATATTTTCATAATATTGTTGCAGTATATAGCATCTTGAATTAGGATAAGTGATTTATATTAATATACGTCCCTCCAAATGAGAAATAAGTTTGTTTCCTGGAATAAATAAAAATATATTAAGCCTAATATTGCTTTAATGAGGTCTGCATTGTATGAAACATTATTTTTTTAAAAGCGTAGGATGTTCAAGGATAAAGGAAGCTTGAACCTCATTCTGAATTTTTTTCCCTGACTATAGAAACGCTCAAAGGGCCAGATTCTTTTTGACAAAGTATGTGAGCACCTGAACCTCCTGGAAAAAGATTATTTTGGACTCACTTACAGAGATATGGAAAATCAGAAGGTAAAATTAATCATTTATTGCAGGAAATCATGAGATAGCATGGGGTCAAATATATTTAATCCAAGAATAAGCAGCTATAGAATGAAACCAGTGCTTTGCTTAACAGTAGTTATAGCTGAACCCCTATAACAACTTAAGTAATACCCTCTGAAATATTCAAAGCAATTATTACATCTAATTTTGATATTTTTGAGACTTAAGGAAAACACACTTTTAGTGTTATGTATGTATGTTCTTGGTGAAAGTTTTAAAAAAGATATAGCCTTCCAGACAGTAACTGATTAGTATCTCATTCATTGTTTTTTTTTTACTTCCCCCCCTCAAAATTCCTATTACTTTGATAATTCTTCTAAGTTGGTCCAACATTCATTATTGAAATATTTATGAGGGGAGCTTAAGAAAGAAATCTGAACCTGAAGTACATTTACAGATGCCCAAACTTCTTGCAAACAATATTTGATTGAACATACAACTGCTTTTATTATAGTAGTTAAACTCAGAAAGTCCAAATTTAAATATTTAAATTGTTTCTTTTCAGAATTGGTTGGATCCAGCTAAGGAAATTAAAAAGCAGATCCGAAGTAAGTTTTGGTCTACATTTTTAAAAATACCATTTAATAATAACTCAGTAATAATGAAGATGAAGGTTGTAGTGATGATGTATTAAACTTGTATGCTGTCAACAACTCTCAACAATTCAATTAGTAAAATTGAAGATAAAGATAAAAGATGGCAAGGGCAATGAAGCAAGTGGTCTCATTCTTCGAAACAACAGCAGAGTAAAAACTATTTTGGATGGTTGGGGAAACCTCATTCCAGAAAGCAGACATTGTTACAGAGATGTGTTTCCACGGTTCCAGTAGATGAGTCTATAAATTGAAGGAGACTGGTCTGCACAAATTGGCTGAGTGGATACTGAGGAAAACAATAGGTACCACAAAGAAGCAAGTCATGTGCCATTTAGATAACTAGGAATAATTTTAAAACCTTGCATAAAATATTTGAAAATATTTAATATGAGATATTATTAGCATAGATATTAGTTTAAGATTAGTACTGTATTGTGCATATATGATGGTGGCAGTTGAGGAAAGAACTACAATATCGATTAAGTTCTAGAAAGATTATTATGATAGGTTTTATGGATCATGTCCCATTTTTGAAAGTTTATACAGTAATCCTCAGGTAAGTAACCATTCAAATTTACTATGGCATTGAAAAAGTAGTTTTACAGGTCCTCAAATTTGTGTCTTTATGGTCACATAATTATCATTTGTTATTTCTGAGCTTCATAGGCAGCTTCTGACAAAGTCTGAACAACCTTGCAGTAATTCACAGATCACAGTCATCTAATGTTGCATTTAATGACTATGGGTGATTTGCTTAATAACAGCAGCAGAAATGATGTAAGTTCAGCACGATCATGTGATGTTTCATTTAATAACCATGTCTTGCTTAGTGACAAGCTGTCAGTCCCAATTGTACTCATTAAGTGAGGACCACCTGTACAATATAAATAACACAATTTTTAAGGTGCCGTAAAATTTATTTTTGTTGCAAAAAATTAGTAGAACACTTACGGTGCTATATGTAGGAACTTGTGTAGAAACCAAGGAGGAGCGTCCTTGTAATTAAACCCAGCCTATCTTAGGAGAGACTGAAGCACCTCCCACTACTGGATGCTTTGAACAGCTCAGGAGAGAAACAAAGTTATATGTAGTGGAATAGAAACAATGTGTTGCTATATCTTTACAGTATGTGCACTTAATATGGGATTTAACTCTACCTTTGGGTTTGTTTATTTGGAAACGGGATTTTTTTAAATGCCGAAGATGTGATTGTTCTTTCAGTATCATGTAAAGGAAATGCTAATACTTATAGGTGATCTACAGCCATTTGTTCAATGAACTTAAAAACTGGGCTGAACAAATAGCATTTATGACCAGTCCTTGGAATTCTGGACATCCCAGCATCCCCACAGCAGCCATGTCCTCGCAATCTGGATGTTTGGCAATCTGTTCACACTTACAGCCAGTTACCAAGTGCCCCTGTCATCACATGATAACCATTTGCAACCTTCCAAAAATGGGAAAAGATTGGAGGGAGTGTACCCAGGGAGGAGAGAAGCATTAGATCCTAACCTGACAGCATGGTCTGTGCATACAAAAGTCATACACAGTATAATAGCAAAGTCCCATTTTTTCAAGCTATTTGTCCATCAAACCTAAAAGAAAATTATATTTTTTAGTGTCTTGCAACAATTTATATTTAATTCTTGGTGTTTTCCCTTGCTATGCAACAAACTTAGAAATATCTTTTTGCCATTGTTTAAATGGTTTATCATTCAGTACCAGTATTGTCTGAAATAAAATTAACATCCTAGGTAAATCATTAATCATTACCCATTAATGATGAGTTTGTCCCACTTCAATAAATCCTTTCTGTTATCATTCCATAACTTAATATAATTCTGAAACAACACAATTTATATAGTCTGTGGAATCACCAGATATTTAACTTGGGTCTCAATTTTGAAACCAATTTTTTTTCATCAAAGTCCATTGGTCATTTAAAATTTATCATCTAGAAGTCAATTAAAAATTTCTCATCAGAAAGGTTGAATTGTACCATTAAAGAGACTTTTATATGTCTTCACTTTTTTCTTGTACTTTCCATCTAAACATTGTTATTTGTGAAGATGATCTATCAAGATTAAACAAGCGACTTTATATATACAGTTACCCTGCCATTAATACTTGTGATTTAAGATTTTATTTATGAATGTAAAAGAATTTTAAATCAGAGTAATATCTAGGTTATCAAGTGAAAGAGGAAACATTTTCTATGTTTGAATACTGTCCAGATATAAGCATCAATGTTTACCTCAGTAAGATAGTTATTTTCAGGTAGAATTCAACTTTTGAGGCCTGCAGGGATAAATATTTGCTATCTTGATTTGTCTCCATTGGTACAATATGCATAAACAAGTGCATTTTGCAGTAAGCATTACCTATCAGAAATTAAAATAAAATTTCTGTTTTCATACAGGCTTACTTATAGCATGATGAAACTAGCAATACTTTTAAAATGTTAAGATTTCTATAAAGAAAAAGCTTCTGTGAGAAACAAAGTAATTATTTTGTTGGCATGACAAAAGCTACAGAGATATATTAAACTTTATGAGTTTATTGATTTAAAAACCCCCCGCTGACAAGCCACATAAGTCTGCTTGGTGGGCAGCACAGGGTACAGGCCTGATTTAAAGGATGGAATCTCTGTACAGAGAAAATAATATATGTTGCTCTTTCAGAATTTCCATAAGGCCTGTTCCATGAAGCATAACAATTGGCTAGCACCTAGGCTAATGGTGCTCTGCCCCTTTAAGACAGCTCAGTTGCCCAGCAGCTATAAAAGCAAAGCAGAAATAAACTGGGTGTGTTGTGGTGGAATGGTTTGTGTGTTGGTCATATTATGGGAAGGGAGATAATTTCTGTGACTCTGAAAATAAAGAATTGGAAGCAGCCTGGACCTAAGAGCAGGAATAGTCTACTACTAATATTAGGAGCAGTGATAGACCTGGGAAGAGTGTGGAAAGGAACTGAGACTACTACCCATTGGGTCTGCTTGTATGTGGGTTTCCTAGAGGCCAAGGAGGCTAGTGTGGTTTTTCTGAGGGTTTGGTAGCCCACTGAATTTGTATATAGCTAAAGGAACCTGTGACACAAGGCTTTAATAATAGAACCTGACTTACTTTCAACATCTGTATCTATCATTGCATATACAGTTAAACTAGAGTGCAGCAAACAGGGAAAGTATTAAAATGTGATTAAAAGACTTACTGATTGATGCTGTCAGAGCAGTACTTTCAGAATAAAATCCGAGGTCATACAACAGCTTTAAACAAAACAAAGCTGATATGGTGTATTTTGTAATTGGTAAAACAATGTGTGTTGCCATTCAAACTACCCTTTCAAGACCATGCACAAGAATACATAAAACCATCTAGGCCAACCTCCAAAAACAACCGGTGCTTCTAAAGTACAAAATACTTGGTTTTAAGAAGACAGTTTCGGGCATTTCAGCAATTCTTACAAATAGCAATCTAGCTTTTGTACAAAATTTGACTTCTGCCATCTTGCTGGAATAAAATAGCTATTGGTTTTTCAAATGCAGTGAAGGAACTAAATCATCGCTTAGTGACTGTTCTATACTATAGACATTGTGACCAATTTGGCTCAATTTTTGTACCTTGCAGTTCCTTGTGTATGCATATGAATTATAAATTAATGAGTCAGAGGAGAAATCTTTAAAAGGTCAAAATTTAGTTCATACAGGCTAACATTATTTATGAAATTCCAATTTTATGCTATTGAGAGCTTTCAACGCAGAAAAGAGCTCTTTATAAAATAATCACTGGATTCCATCCATATTCCAAATCATTCAGAGCTTTTCAAGGGACATTTCACATAGACTTTATTATGATAACCTTACTTGGAAGTCATTAGATCACAAATAACAAAGGACAGACCAAGAAAAAAGTAGGAAATAGTTGGCAAAATGAAACTGTTAAAAATCACCACATGAAATGTAAACGTTCAAACCACTTATGCTATACAAAGTATTCTTTTCCCATCAAGCATGCCCAATAACATCTCTTCTTTTTCTTTACAATTTCATTTATGCTAAAGTAGCATAAAGATGCTGATGGATGGTGTGTGTGTGTGTAGTTTCATTGGATTACGGATGTAGATTTTGAAGCTCTGCTGAATAAAACTCTCAGAAATAGGATGGAAATGGCTCTAAGAATTTTAAAGAACGGGAGAAATAAGCATCAGGGTTGAAAGTAATAACAATATCTACCTCAGTAAATATGGTAATTATAGTGAGTGCAGAAGACAAATAATCCCACTAATATTTTGTTGTATTTTAGGTGGTGCTTGGCATTTCTCGTTCAATGTTAAATTCTACCCTCCAGATCCTGCCCAACTTTCTGAAGATATTACAAGGTAGTTTATGCATTATCACTGAACAGAAATTATTTCTAAAAAAAATCATTATAGCCATAATTTGCTTATTAATAAATTGTCACCATAAGGTCAACTGATTTCAATCATTGCAGTATAAGGTTTCCTGCCTGAGCAAATGGTTGGAATATATGACTTGAACATACCTTTCAACTCTGTTATTCTGTTATTGAGCTGATAATAAGTAATGGAAAAGCTTTCATACTTATTAGGATGTTGTTACTTCATCTAACATTCTCTCCTGAATGAGGTTGAAATTTAGCCTCATTTCTAGGGGCTTATCTTAGAGTCACTCAAATTTATCCTTATTGCAGAGTTAGGAATTGCAAAGATCAGTTTTTGAGGCTTGATAACATTTTAAAATGTAGATTTCTCTTCTTCCTAATCCCATATATATTTTTAAAAAATACAATTCCGATATTTCTTGTTAATGAGCGCTTCCTAGCGTGGTGTATGTGGAAACCCAACTTGTTGTTTTAACCCTTTACATGGGGAATTATTGGGAGATATATTAAAGAGCTTATGGTAAGTTTCATTATTTTATTTATTTATATCCCACCTTTATTATTTTTATAAATAAGTCAGGGCAGCGAATATACCTAATAGTCCAGCCTGAAATGAACTGAAAGAGACTGGCCCAAAGTCACAGAACTGGGTTTTTTCATGCATAAGTTTGGACTAGACTCACATTTTCTTAGCTTCTAGACTGGTGCCTTAACCATTGGCTCCATCTCTCTTTCATTATCTAGGTTTTTATAATGGAGAACTCTTTATTGCAAAAATTTCTCAAAAAGATTCAGTTGAATAAATTCAGAATAGATCATTGCTGAAATTAATAGATGAAATTGTTTGCAAGCAATTGTTCATTTAGTTAATAATAGCTTAAAAAATAGAAATTGTCACTAGATCTTGCTGTGCCTTGCATAAGCAATAAAACTGTTGCTGCAAACAGCGTTTTAGCAATTGTGCATGTTTTTTGATACAGGGCAATTATTTTCGTTTCCAGATTGTGTGTATGTATCCATGGGTTATAAAGTGCTTTCGTCCCCCCAATATTCCTTCTTGCTGTTTTTTATGTCCACTATTGAAAATAGCAATGTGTTTTGTATAAATTGTATATTTGCTTATGAATGAGTGTATTTTTTAATGCTTCTGCTTAAATAGAGAAATGTTAATACGCTTTTTAAAATATAAATTTGTTGCAGGTATTATCTCTGCTTGCAGCTGCGAGATGACATTGTGTCTGGACGATTGCCATGTTCTTTTGTCACACTTGCACTATTAGGCTCCTATACAGTGCAGTCAGAGCTTGGAGATTATGATCCTGATGAATACGGGAGTGACTATGTCAGTGAATTCCGCTTTGCACCAAATCATACTAAAGAACTGGAAGATAAAGTAATAGAGCTTCATAAAAGCCATAGGTGAGACATGCAGAGGGAAACCATGTTTATAAATAATGGTTCTATGGAACATCCTGGTCTGCTTTGCTGTGCAAGTTGTCTTGACTCTAGTCATTCAAGTGCCTTAGTTTTAAAAACCAAAACAGTCTGCCTTAATACCTCCATTTAAAGCAAATCCCTTGGATACAACAAATTGCAACTCATCGACTTTGGCATATGCACAGGAGAACCTACATTTTGAAGAATTTTTTCTCCCGCATGAAACAACTTCACTTTCACTTGTTCTTATGTGGGTTTTTTTCATATTGATTAACTTTAGGGGAATGACACCTGCAGAAGCAGAAATGCACTTTCTGGAAAATGCCAAAAAACTGTCCATGTATGGAGTAGATCTACATCATGCCAAGGTACATATTGTATTCAGCAGTCTAATAATTCAACTTCTGCATAAGTCAGATAGTTCTTAGCAATCATAGATAGACCTTCTCTAAGGTGTTCTGCCTAGTTTGGCGCTTTCAATGGTGTACTTACTACCACTGTAATTGTGTCCATTCACCTTGTTTTTAGTTACCATCTTCTCGTTGCTTCTATCTTTTCCAGCATTACTAATTTCTTCAGGGAGCTGTCTCTTTGCGTAATGAGTTTTACATGAGTTTGACCGAGTATTTAAACAGAACTCAAATAAGAATAATGATACCATAAACAAAGCAAAACATTAATAAATCATAAGTTAAAAATCACAAAAACAAATCTTGGTAACACATTCCTCCCTTCCTTCTATTTTTCCACCAATGCTAACCACTACCTAAAAATTTATATTGTATTTTGCACTTTAAAATAGTACTATTGAGCCTTGACTTTTATACCTTGAATGAGAAATCTGATTGATTTAGCAATAACAATAGCACTTAGAATTATATACCGCTTCTTGGTGTTTTACAGCACTCTAAGTGATTTACAGAGTCAGCATATTTTCCCCAACATTCTAGGTCACCACAGCCAATTTTCAGGCCTAAAACAGGATTAGAACTCACAGTCTCCTGGGTTAGTTTGATGTCTTAACTACTGGACCAAACTGGCTATTTTTTGTCAATTTATAATTGCTTAAGAAGTTTAAAAAGTGTTGGATCATATCAGTATTCCAGTATCATTCTGAATAAAATATTTTCTAAAATGAGCTAGGTGCATAATAGATTTCAAAATGTCTTCAGACAGTATGCAGGCAAATACATACATTAAGAGTGAAAAACAACCTTAACTTTTATCTTTTGTTAATTGTCTTTAACAAATATAAGTTAAATAGGCATCTTTGGGCAAATAACTATTCAGCAAAAATTTTGGCCACTTCGGCTATCAAAAAATTCTGAAAGTAATGCAATTAGGTCTTTCTAAAGAACATATGAACATCAAAATTGGGATCATTGAGGCCGGCATGATAGTCTAAAGACATAATTAAACGTAAGAATTATATTGAAAATTTGTTTTCTTTTTCAAAGGGATATTAAAATAACAGTTTTGGTCCCCTCTCTTCCAAGTATACAGTAGTTTACTAGCTAATAACCAAAAGGAAGTAGCAGTTGGAAAGAAGCAGGAAAACAATTAATTTTATATAATTTAAATATTTGTTACTACATATTATTATATGTTTAATAATTATCTTTTTCCCCTAGGAAGGGTTTCGTACATACCATTTACCATATAAACAAATTGTGATTTCTTCATTAAACATAGAGATGTTTAATGTTTCCTCTGGGAATTCTCTATATGTTTTTGACTACATGCTAAATTAAGAGTGTGGTATTTAATTTACACAGTCTCATAGGATGTCAATAAACTTTATTCTATCTAGCTGACGATATAGATAGCAAAGAATTGTATAACATTTTAGTTAATTTTGTTTTCTTATGTGCTTTCTTAAATTTATGAAAAGGATAAAAATGAAATATCATAGCTGATAAATAACTCTTGGAATTGATGTTAGATTTTAAAAAAAATGTTTTTCAGGATTCTGAAGGAGTTGAAATCATGTTAGGTGTTTGTGCAAGTGGTCTCTTGATTTATCGAGACAGACTCAGAATAAACAGATTTGCTTGGCCTAAGGTTCTCAAAATTTCATATAAGAGGAATAACTTCTACATCAAAATTCGACCAGGGGAAGTAAGTAAAATTGAATGAAATTGTTTCTTATGTTTGTCTTGTTTTACATTTTCATTTATCAAAATATAGTTTATCAAAATATAAAGAGAAATTTTTAAAAAACTAATAGAAAACTAGGAGGAGGAAGAGGGAAAAGGAAAGAAAAAGGCACTAACTTCCAATTTTCTTTAGCACAGAAAATAACAACATTATAACCTCAACTTTTTACTTTTATATAACAGTATATATATACTAGCTATTTCTGTAACAACAAACCTATATGTAATTAGTACAATCAAAATCAAGGTTTCTTTTTTTTTTCATTGCAAACACAGGAAGCAATTTCTAAATAGAAACAAGGTTAAATATATTCTCTTCTTTAGATAAAAGAATCAATTGGACTATCTCTGCTTCTTCTTGCTGTGGGGAATAATATATGCTTTTGTTTACTCATTAGTCTTTATCATAATTTATATTAAGAGAATCCACTATATAAATTGCAATATTTTAACCCTAAATGGAGAAAATGCTTTTTCTAGTTTTTATATTTTACTCACAATAAAAATACTCAAATATTATATATGAAGGAGGGGAAACCCCTTCATTTTAATACAAAACTTACATTAGCACTTTGTCATGTTTCATATGTCTACATATTGAATTGTCAGTCCTGAAGCAGACCTAACTGAAGACTTCGTGGAAGCTTCAGTGTTGCCACTGAAGAATAGGGAGCGGGGATTGTAGGTCGCTGGGATTTTGTAGCCAAAACAAAATACTTTTTCTTGGGAACCAAGGACATTCTCACACCTGGTCAGAGGAAGGAGGAGTGATGTCACCTGGCAACCAGACAGCGGTGTGTTTGGACCATGTGACTGATTGTTTTGAGAAAGTGACAAACTATTACTTTTAATTAGATAAAAACTGGGAATCTTCAGAGTCAGTTTTCACCAGATCTGTGCCAATATGATATATCCAATAAAGCTATTTTTTGTTAATTGTGTTAACATTTACACACCTACCTACTTCGGAGTTTTGCTTGCTGTGGGTCTATTACTTGGAACCCTGACATTAAACTGACCTTTGACATGAATTTTACTTTAGAAATTAATACAGTGTAATGTATTTATATATTAGGCTAATAGGTTCAGCCTTGAAATATTTTGAAACTTGACTTTTCAGCTTCTCCCTTTCCCTGTTTACTTCTGTTGTAATTATTTTCTGTTTTCCTGCAAGGAGAAAAAACAAGAATTTGTAATATAATATCGAACACACTGTATTATCTGTTGTTGGCTTTTCTGGTATTAATTTAAATTTTATTTTGGTTTATTGTGGCAGTGCAATGCTTATAAACCATATTGCCATATTGAATTTATAGCAATAAATTCTTGTTTCTCCCAGTGGAAATCATTTCTCCATCACTTTATTTGGGTTGATATAATGGAAAATAGGGAGAACACCGGTGAGAATCTATTGTATAGTAGAAAGCTAAACCTCTAACTTCCTTTAGAGAGACAGCTTATGTTGAGAATGTATTTATTTAAGTAATTTAAATGGTTTCCCTTCTCATAATAGCAATTACAAAGATTAAAATCAACAGCTACAAACTGTGACCCAATATGCCTGAGGTAAACACTGCGTCCTAAGCATAAAACTATATTAACAGCAGAACTTAACTGACCTCCAGGTTAAACTTCCAGGGAAACATTAATGATATCTGGGAATGAACTTGAGAGACAGGAGGAAGACCTGTAGATTAGATAGACTAGATGATCAGATAAGACGCAGTGTAGCCCACAGAAGCTGGACACTAGAGGAAACTGAAGATTTTAGATAGAGGGGGAAGAAAGTGAGCCTATAAAATGCAAATATTGAAGGATATTTTTGCAAAATAGAGTCAATAGTAATAATGATGTCTTTCTTTGGTAGACTATGTCTAAAAGATGTTATTGAAGAAATGAAAGATACAGAGTAAATTTTATTTGGTAAGATAGAGTTGATATCAAAAATAGATTTACAACTGATAGGCCAAGGCAATGACTTGGGAAATGATGTTTCATTGGATTTACAAAAGAAATTGTCTGATGTTTTAAAATTCAAAAAGGAAACACAAATAATAAATCAATAGAATGACCTGAACATTTTTTTTCTTACTGGATTTACAAAAGAGGCTTGGTAAAGTGTTGAAGAATGTTGTGTGATAGGACTAAAAAGAAATGAAGTGAAATCAAAACCTACAGTATTTGATTGATCTAAAGATTAAGATTGTTAAAAGTAAAAGGAAGAAACCTACAGTAAAGTCGCTTTATTTGACCAAGGTTAAAACAAAATATGTTGATATATTTGTCAACCTGGATTTTTTTCTTATTTTCTAGTTTGAGCAATTTGAAAGTACAATTGGATTTAAACTACCAAATCATCGTGCTGCAAAACGTCTATGGAAAGTATGTGTTGAACATCATACATTTTTCAGGTACATAGTTCTTTTTAAAGGATTATTTCAAAGTTCATCACAATGAAATAAGAATAAATTGGACAAAGGTATACAAACAGATGTAACATTCTTCTTGACCTCTGATCATGGCTGCCCGCTGAAAAATATAATAGACACCAGACCTCTTCACAAAATGTTAATAAATTCTCAAAACTATAATTGAAAGCCATGTTAGTAAACATCTGTTCTCTTTTTGATACCCAGTAAACTTATAATACAGATTTTGAATGTATAGAAAAACCCCATATTTTGGATGTGGTGCATATTCATGTATCAAGTTACACTCCAGGATGGAGTTATTCTAGTCATTGAAGCATACTCTCATTCTTCCATTGAAGAGATCAAACAACCTTTCCAGTAAAAAGCATGTGATAACAAATTCATGGATTTGATGGCCTTGGACCTATCCCAGGTCATCCATTGCCTACCTGGGGAAAGTGGACACATCACTGAAATGATCTTGTCACAGCACTGGCAATGTGATCTTGTGGAGGGTGTATCATTATAACCTCTGTCACGGTCAGATCATGCCCTGCTGTCCTTGAGATTTTCCAATGCTTCCCTCTCGGTAACTCATTCAAGTTCTAGAGAGAGCTGGAGGACAACCCAGGAGCTCTGCTGCATGGTCCTGTGGAGGCTCTGACCACAGTCTGGAACCAAAAGGTGGCCAGAACCCTGGACAGTAGCAAGTCTGTTCCCATCACTCCCAGTGCTCCTTGTGATTCATGGAGGAATTGAGGGTGTTGAAAAGGGCCAAGAGACTGCGAGACAACCACTGGAGGAAAGCAAACAAATCTGTCTGATTACATTAATGCCTATCTTGTGGCAGTAAGAGCAGTGAAATGCAAGTATTCATCTGCTCTTACTGTATATGCAGAGTGCCAGCTAGTAGCTCTGTTTACAGTCATCCAGTCCCTCCCTAGGGGAGGAAGACTCATAAGAACATTTACAGGACCATGTGGGACAATTTCTCAAGCACTTGAATGGATAAAATCACTTGGAAGTGTGGAGTAGGTTCCTCACCCAAGGACGGGATTTACCCAGTTATCTAGAAGCAGTTTCACTCCTTTGAAGTGGTCAGGATCATAGGTCTGTTAGTGCAGGAGGGTGACTTGCAAGTGAGTCCAGGCAGTCATTAATACATTGCTGCAGGAGGGTTGTTCCATTTAAGGAAGCTTTAATTCATCCCTTCCTTAATCTGGATCCCACAGGTTTGGGACACATTCTGTAAGTTAGCCCATTGAAGGTATCTTGGTTCAAACAGGTGCATTGTTTTACCCAGTTAAGGGTTATAGGAAAGAGAGTTTTAGTACTATATAAATTTAATCTTGCAAGCTACACATATTAATTCTTCACTGAGTGAATTTTTAAAGAGTTTTTAAGAGTTTTTATCTTCATTCAAATAAAGGTGAAGCAAAAAGGGAGAAATTTGGCTTTTATCCCAGACATTTGTTCCATTACTTTTATTTTTTAATGATCTCTTGTAGAACATTAGTTTCTATTTGTATCAACCAAAATATATTTACGCAGGCCATTTTAGTATAGATAGCTCGGCTGTAAGAAGCTATAATTCACTCTGGAATCCATGTTAAACAAGTGGCATGATAATGCAATTTACAGCTTATGACTGCCAGTCCATTTAAAAAACAACAACTTAACAGTACACTCAGAATATTATTATTCTGGCATTGAAACGGAGATGAACCCTGTCGCTATAGTCAGCAATGACTAGCAGAGTAAAAATTCGCAGGGATTACTTTACTTTTTACTTTGATACTCAGAATATGTCCGATGTTGTTTCTTATATATCTGTTTAGAACAAACCCAGACTGATTAGTACATCGTTGTAGTTTAAAGAAATCACTTACTCTCTTTTCAAGTATTGCTGTCTTCATTAAAGGACTAACTCCATCTGACAAACACATTAAAGCTTGAAATATTTCATACACCATTTTATAATTGCTAAATTACAATAAAATGTTTTACACTGCTTTTTTAATTATTGCTTAAAGTGATACTAAATATCACATCCCGTCAATTCAAGAATGGAAGAAAATAGTTTTGAAAACACAATCTTTTGTTTCAGTTTAGAAAATCAGTCATTTGTAATGTTTATCATGTGTGATATATTCTAGACTCTTGCTACCAGAAGCTCCTCCAAAAAAATTCCTCACACTAGGTTCTAAGTTTCGCTACAGTGGAAGGACACAAGCCCAGACAAGAAGAGCTAGTGCATTGATTGACCGCCCTGCACCTTACTTTGAACGTTCCTCAAGCAAACGCTACACAATGTCTCGCAGCCTAGACGGGGGTAAGATATTCTTAATCATCCTTACTTGGAACTTTGTTTCATTTTCTTTTTTAAATAAAACATTGCATTAGAGGACAGATTCAAGTTTCTTGTAATCTCATGTCCCCCGAGCTTCTTTGGATTACACATGTAAGTATATGCATGATATGTCATTTATTAAAATATTCCCGTTAAACTTGGCCTTTTGCTTTTCTCTGGCTTATTCATGTGGCAGTTCATAAGCTGTGGAAGACTTAAAACTTCAGTCGTCCACATTTATTTCTTTAGCTGTTCTTCCTGCTACTGAATTTTTACCCTTTCTGTGCTGTTCTAGGGCGCTATAGCTATCATTGCTAGGATGTTAAATGCACTCAGCTTGTATTGACTAACACAATATGCAAACTGAATCTAGTCGTGCTATGGTACTTGTGTTTTTCCAAACTTTATGATATAGTTCCAGTGTTCGCAAAAATATATCATTGGTGGTCTCTGAGCTTGGATGTTTGCTTGCTGATGTTTTGTTGCCCATCTAGATAACATCATCAGGTTTGCTCCCTATTTATATACCATAGCTTGCCCTGCCAGTGTTAGTGGAGCTTGTATTATTCAGATGAGTACAAAATCCAAAAACCCAAGGGTATTACCGAAAGTTTGGCATTCAGACAAATCAGCCATTGATAGATGCATACAGTATATATAAACTATATTTACATACTGTTCAAAAGAAGGAAACAAAAGAAGACACGAACATGTCCTCTCTATCAGCTAGTATCAAGATAAACAGGGCTTAACACCAGACAAAGAACAAGCAAGAAACTATCAAGGAGCAAATGAAACATCCACCAGTTCTGGCAGGGCAAACTATAGTACATGTAGTCCTCGACTTTAGTGACCATTCAAATCTACAACTGTTCTGAATTATGTGCCTTTGAATTATGACTTTTTCAAGCTTAAGGACCGTTGCAGCATTCCCATGGTCATATGATCAAAATATAGATGTTTGGCAACTGGCATGTGCTTATGACAGTTATGGTTTATGTCCTGGAATCATATGATAACCATTTGAAATCTCCCCAGACAGCTTTCACAAGCAAAGTCAATGGGGGAAGCCAGATTCATTTAATGACTGCATAATTCCCTTAACAACTGCAGTAATTCGCTTAACAGCTATGGCAAAACATGTTGTAAAATGAGGCACAACTCGTTTAACAACTGCCTTGCTTAGCAGCAGAAGTTTTTGGCTCAATTGTGGTTGTAAGTTGAATACTATCTGTATATAAACAGATCAAATATCACACTCACTAGCACTGATGATGATATCTAGTTGGGTAATGAAACATCTGCAAGCAAACAACCATACTAAGAGAGTACTAAGGACCATGGTTTAGCCCTAAGCTATAAATATGTTCTTTTGTGAAGGAATAAAAGGCATTGCGTTAGAGAAAATAGTAGATACAAATTAAGCAAACATCTCTACAAATGTATATTAAAAGAATTAGTTCGATTGGTGTAGATTTTCATGTGTATTTATATTAAAAAAATCAAAGGTAATGTAAAACTACATGTGGAAAAAGTAAAAGTTAAGAAAAACAAAAAGTGATCACTTTATTTGTTCTTAATCTTTGCATTTCAAAAATATTTTTGGCCAAGCTAATAAACTAGTAATTTGCATACATCCATACAAATGACCAATAGGGAAAAAATCTGGTACTGTTGTTTATGACATACCATCCAAATTATTCAAGGTCTGTTACAAATTGGTGTGTGTGTGTGTGTGTGTGTGTGTGTGTGTGTATGTATATGTATATATGTATATATAAGAGTAGCTACTGCATTTAGCCAGGAGAGTTAAAGGGCTTAGCAGAAACTGAACGGACATTATCCTGAAAATATTGAGTCATCTGAATGACTCGTTGCATCTCTTTTTTATTACTAAATGTAATTATTTGGGTTTCTGTACTATGATCTTCTCCATGTACATGACCCCCTAAAATTGAATTTATGTGACTCCATTTACCATGAATAAAAATGTGGTTGAGCCAGAAATAAATAAGCCATATTAATAATAAAAGTTCAATCATTGTAATAAAACAATGATAGAACTTACAACTTTGGAAATCAGCAACAAAAAGTCCAATAAAATAATCCATGTATTAAAAGGAAAGGTTGAATTTGCTTGTTTTGTCATAATTCCTGAAATCCAAGTTTTATTTTGAAGGTACCCACTCTTTATTCATTGAAAAAAAGGTGTATTCTTTCTTTCCCACTCAAAATGCAGTTAAAATGCTGCATTTTACAAAACACTAGCGGGTTAGAAGTTACTTTTGGCATTCTCTCTCTCAGCGTATAGCTGCACCAAGATAACTGTTGTGGCTCATCTACTTTTTTTTCCTTCCAGTCTGATGCTTAGAAAATCCTTTCCCCATTATTGCGATTTCCATTTTCTCTTCCACTTTGCAGACTGAGAATCAAGCTTTGCTTAGAAACCATGTCCCTTCCAGGCATGATTATTCTTCCTTTGAAAAGCAGATGCGATCTGTTAAAAAGACAAAAAATGACATTAGGGCTTCATTAATGGTTCTGGAACTATAACTTTCCTTGGAATTCCACATACTTCTGCATCAAACTGATAAACTTGCTGGGAAAGAACTTGCACCCTTCAGCAGCCCTTCATTTATTGCTATGTGATCCCACTGCAGGTCACAGCAGTTGAGAATGTTAAGCAGAACATAAATTTGGAGTCATTGGTCTAAGTGGATTTTTCCAGCTCCATAGATGATTTCACAGAAATCGCCCCTCTAAAAATGAGGGACAGTGATTTGTCTGTGATAACATGAATGGGAGCTGTCTATGTTCTATGGTGGACACTTGCCACTATCAGAAATGCTGCTTTGCAAGTTATTCAGGTGTGACAGTCTGCTTGTCAAGTTGGCCTCTAGGGATTGCTGCTACTGAAATGGAATCTGTGGATGACCTTGGGGAATGAGGAGAAGAGTTACTGCTGAGGAAACAATCAGAGACGCAGGAGCCCCCCTTCCTCTCCACCTTAATGGTCAGAGAAAAACTTAGGAAGGATGCACTCTCATAGATCAAGTAATTAAAAATGGTGGCAGGAACTTTTTACTTTCAAACAATCAAAATTCAGGTGCTTTGGCAATTATTTATGTTGGTTGTAGCATCTCTGGTTCACATGATCCTCATTGTCTGCCTTCCCAGCCGGCTTTTGACAAGCGGTCAATGGGGGAGGCCAGATTTGCTTAATGACTACATGAGTCTCTTAACAACTGCAGCATCTTGTTTAGCCAATTGGCCATCCTTATCCCAATTGTGGTCATAAATTGAATACTACATGTATATGATTAGAAAATAATGCTGTTGAATTTATATGTGCAAAACATTTGGAAGAACTATTTTGCAACATTTCGCAGCACATATAGAGGTCCTGTTTTCTAATTGTTCCTGTAAAATATCTCTTTGTCTTGTACAACCCTAATGTCTGCCTTGTATATTTAGTGTGATTCAAGTTGGTATAATAAAGGTTTGGTGAAATGGCCATTTTTTTTCCTTTCTGTAAATAATTTTTTAACCTACTCTTCAAAATCTTTTTTTTCTTTCCAGTGAATTAGTGATACTTCTTTGGGTCTATATGTCAAGCTCATTAGGATCTTGCATTTTGAGATAATTGCCTCTGGTTGCTAATTAATTATTTTTTAAGGAAGTACTTTCAAGCTGTATATGTTAATCGGCTGTTTATCACCTAGGTTCTTTACATAAGTGTAGTGCAGTGTGCTCAGATAATTTCATTATTTTCAAGCTATCTATTCTAGGACAAACTTTAGATAAAAAAAGATTCTGGATTTAAAAGTATCTGCATGCATGTGAATATATATCAGATTTTAATACGATATCTGTATATGCATATACATACACATACATGCATATTAATTTTATTGTTTTATATAGGATTTAGTATTTATGTTTCTGCATGTTTTAGAAACATGAGGCTTCCATTTCACTGGCAGACTGCTTAATGCTGCAAGCCTGTGCTCACTTGCCTGGGCATAAATCCCATTGAATTTAATGAGATTTACTTTTGGGTAGGCATGCACAGAATTAAATAATTAATCCATAATGTAGTTTTACTTAGCCAAATGAATCATCTATTTAAGATTTCACCTCTTCACATTGCATTTGCTTTTAGCATCAGTGAATGAAAACCATGAAATGTACATGAAGGATTCTATGTCTGCTGCAGAGGTTGGTACTGGCCAGTACGCTACAACAAAGGGCATCTCTCAAACAAACTTGATAACTACTGTGACACCAGAGAAGAAAGCAGAAGAAGAGAAAGACGATGAACAGCTAAAAAAGAAAGAAGAGGAAGGCACTCCAGTTTCAGCAATACGGCACGATACTAAGGTATAGTTTTTATATTTTTAATTTAATTCTATCAACTAAGCAGTATCGCAAAAGCCACACAATTTTGGTGACAGAAAGCATAAGAAAGTAGTGGCAAATCACCAGTGTTTAGTAATAAATAATTTGTTATTCTGTACAGTAGCTTTTTCTGACAATGTTAAGATGAACAGTGGCAATTTAGTTTTATATAGAGAACATGTTTCACTTTTGAATATGCTACATGCTCTACAATGTAAATAACTCTTTTTGTGGGTTACTGCATTTATTTGCCTTTTTGAATTGCCTTTGAATTATTTGTCATTATAAGAGTGCTAACTTCCTTTTTTCCTGATCTTAGAATCAGTGTTTCTAGTATAAATTAAACTAGAGAGAGCAAATCATTGTACATTTTGACATCCTTTTACTTCTACATTATTGTCATAATCCATGTGAAATTACTTATAACTCCAGATCATATTAATTCCAGCTCTCCTGTTATCAAAAAAGTTGCCTATCGGTAGACCTTCAGAAAATATTGTACAGAATGAACAGCTATGACAAGGAAGACTAGCTTTAGTCCCAGATGCCTATATAGTATATCACATATTTTATAGACACATATATAGTGGGAAGAGTCAATAAACCTGAATCACTTAGTACAATAAAATCAATGTTTATCAAGACATTTGGGATATGAGTCCATCCAGTTTAGATATTGACTCCAAGAATTTAAGTCGTTAAGTATCCACTGTGTTTCAACATGCTTTTATAAAGGTATACAGATTTACTTTTCTATAATCCTGCTTGTCACATATTTCTCTCCCAATCATTGTGTTCCAGTAGTTTTGCAGATATAGTTGGAATACACTTTCTCTACAACAACACAGCTTGAAATAGGCATCTTTTGTGAGTGAGCTGTTGGCACAGGACAGACTTCCTCACAAAATGTTGCCCGTCCAAACTGGAACTCCCAGAATTCCCAATCATCATAGCTAAAAGCTGAGAATTGAAGAAGTTAAATTCAAGCATCTAGGTGGGATGAACTGCTGGATATGTATACATTATCACAGTAATTACTATGGTTATTAGATGGTAGGCTCATGCTGCAGTATCATCACAAAATGTATGAATTAACACTTTATAAAATGTACTCAGTTGCTAAAAGGACTTTTCATCTCTAAATGTAGGAAATTATTAAAATAAGCAGAAACAAATTTATTCACTGTTGCATTTGGCATACAATTATAGCAACGTTTCTCAATCTTAGCAACTTTAAGATGCATTGTTGGGGAATTCTGGGGGACGAAGTGCAGACAACTTAAAATTGTCAAAATAAACACTAAATTATTGGCTAAAAATGAAGAGTACCATTTATAGTTGCACACTACATTGCAAGAACTGTCTTGCCATAACAATGCTTTTCATGTCCAATTGAATGTTTTTTAAATATTTGGCAATTAAAGTTTATTAAATGATAATATGCAGGAAATATGATATATTCCAGGGATTACATGTTTCCGCAAATGTATGTTCAATTTTTTGACAACCATGATGTTTATTTTTGTTTTTTAAAATTCCTACTAGAATTGTGTTGGAATATATAACTTTAAATAAAAGTGCTTAAGAGATTCACATTTTGCAATAAATAGCTATCACAATGTAGTAATTATGCCTATATTGTTAAGGGATTGAATAATACAAGAAAAGAGGTTCAGAAAAAAATATTCCAAGATAAGTAGGAAGAAACTAGGAATTAAATATTTTCCTATATAAATAGAGATTTATATCTTATATTTTAGAAATCAATCTATGATTGGTTTTATATAACTGCATTTAGGAGCAAATATCTTCAAGTGTGACTGTATCAAAACATATGTAAACTTCCATTTGGACAAGGCCCTCACCTGATCATTGGTTTCAATCTCTTTCTTTCTGAAACTGGTGTCCAGAACTGTAGAAGTAGGAATATTCATTACAACGGCATGGACAATGTTTATTTTCTAAATACTGTTGAATCAGCTGTTAGCCAACATAATCAACAGTGAGGTATACTATAATTGCAATATCTGGAGAGCCACAGATTACCATTTCCTATCTAACAGGATGCACACCTGAAACTCCTTCAAAAATACTACATGCACTGCAATCAGTGAGCATTATTTCTTTATACTATTTGTTTATTTTTGTTCTATCGATAGGAGCTCTAGAATTTTATTGGAAGATGTTAGGGATTCTTAATTAAAAGATCAATTACCGTGGACAATTTATCTGAAAATCCATTTGATCAATTTATATCTAATTTCCCATAACACTATTTCTGGAGTATTGGATGTGTAGGATTACTTAAACATTTAAATATTTAGTTTCTAACTTTTGTCTTCTATAAAGAAATTGCTCTCCTGATTTGCAAAATATAAAATCATTAACAACAACAATCAGTAATTACAAATGTTTACAGTACTTGAAGCAGCAAAAATCAGGGGGAAAAAACTTAGTAGTGGGTAATGCTAATACAGTAAAGCATTTGCTGACATTTCTGCTTTGTGGAATATACTAATGAACAGGAGAAACCTAATTTCTTGGGGGAGGGTGTTGTTATAGACAGTATTGTTAAGGAAACTATGTTTTTGCATATTTTTTTTAGATCAGTGCCTTATAGTCAAATGCAGCAACTGTCAGGTTTTTAGGAAAAAATAAAATAATTTTCCCAATAGCAAAGTCCCAAATCATTTAGAATTTTTAAATTGCTAAGCCAAACTTTGAATTCCATTTATAAATTAGTTACAAAGATAATATATGACATGGTTAGTAACCTCCATAAATCAAGCACAATCCAGGAGGAATAAATCTAAATGATACAGCAAAAATAGAAAGAAAATCTCTGCTACTATTTATTAATCAACTAGATTTTGTGGTCAGCATCAACAATCCTTGTTGAGAAGGTCTCTTGAAATTCTCTATAATGCATGCGTTTTTTAATTTTTTTAAAAAAATTGTATTTATTGATTTGTATTCCGCCATAATTATTTTGAACAAATGACTCAAAGCAGCATACTTATCCAACACACCTTCCTCCTCCTATTTTCCCCACAATAACCAGGTAGGGGTGGGCTGAGAGTGACCATTCCATTCCAACTCTCTTTCTTGCCTAAGGCAGGAGTAGAACTCATGGTCTCCTGGTTTTCAGCCTGGTGCCTTAATCAGTAGACCAAAAGCATTCCCCATGGATGGAAATTTTGAACATATTTTTTTATTTGTTATCCAGCCGCTGGTTCAGAAAAATAAATTAGGTATTAAAATAATTTTTAGCATTCAAAAAGAGACCACAAATTGCTATGTTTATATAGAATTCCTGTTCTAGCAGTGAATACTATGCTTGCAGTGAATATTATCTTCCATTAACCGTTTGTATGTAAGACAATGTACATGCCTGAATTTAAGCATAATTTGACAGATTCAGATACAGGTAAATAAGAGCCTATTAGTAGGAAAATTTGGGCATTCAGGTAAAAGAAAATATCCTGTATTCTTATACAGACTTCTCCAGAAGCAGATCTATTGCAATAAGATATATTTTGATGTAAATTCATTTTTATAAGACATTGCTTATTATTTTTCAGGTAGACCTTGTTTATAGAACCAAACGGATTTTTTGCAGTCTAAATCCTTTTGTTTGAGCTAACTATCTAGAACACTACATTTAATTCTTAATCTCTACTTATTCCATTTTTTCTAATACTCAACATTCTCTAACAGTAAACATGGGTGGTTGTCAGTAAGCCATGGAAGAAGACATATTTCCTTAGATTTTTATTGTGTTAATCCTAAATAATTTTTGCTTTGGGTTTTTTTTTTTTTGTAATTTTCCCATTTTAATAAGAGGTGTCTTAGTTAAGTTTTTAATAGAAGAAGGAGTCGCTCTTGTTTGCATTCCAGCAATATATGGTACTACTATAGACACACTCCTCAGTGTTCAAAATCCTATAGAAAATTATAATGCAAAGTTTTATATCATAGTCTTCTCCAAAAATCATGGGGAATCACAGAAATTTCTGGTTAAAAACTAGAATGTTACAAAGAAAGAAATCCTTTTTTGGAAAATAAAATTGAAATGGTGAAGTATTGCTTACCCTTTCACTTGTTTGTATCATTGTCCTCTCCCATTTCCTTATCCATTTTACAGTGGTGATCAAATTGGGGAAATGATGGCAGAATGAGTGGTGAACCACAGATTTACATTCATGAATTAAGAGTATGACCAACTGTGTAGCATTCCTACTCTTTTTTTTTTAGTGCCAGATTAAACCTTTGGAATGCCAAAGACAAAGGTACAATGAGCTAAAAAGACAATGGTGCTTATACCAGAAAGAAGCGTATAGCCTATATAGTTTCATTCCTTTGTGGGATGATTTTAAGCCTTTCAGTTTGAGACTTGCTAGTTTGCAAACTTAATGTAGCAATTAAATGTGTATGTTGAACTTTTTAAAAATAAGATAATGTATTTCAATAGATGAGTTAACTTTGTAACTGGCTACCCTCATAGAATACAGCATGTAAACTGGTATAATTAATTCAATTCAATTTGTTCTTTTAGCTTTATGCAATTAACTTTTATATGCAGAGGAAATTAACCAATTATAATTTTCTTTTTGTCCTTTTGCTCTTGCACTTGCTATCTTTTCTTTCATCAGCCACTTTTGCCTGGCATTGATTCATTAACCCCCTTGCCATCCTCACCAACTGGTCCCTTTGCATCTTCAACAGAACTTCACAGGAGAAGGTGTAAGGAGAATAGTAAAAAGTTATTAGATGGTGAATCATTAAAAAACACCAGTCAAAAGCACGATGAGACTGATTTGAACTTCAGCAGAAAAGAAAGAGCTTATTCTATTGAACATGACATGGCATTTAATTACAAGCAAAAGGCCAGAAAGGGTGGTACATTATTTTCTTTCTCCTTGCAACTTCCAGAATCATTCCCTTCTCTCCTGGATGATGATGGCTACTTATCCTTTCCAAAT